AGGATTTTATTTAGGGACGATTTTAAGTATAATTTTAATTGGAACACAGCCTCTAATATTTGGTTTTTAATTTGGTTTTAGAAGGGTTTTATTTTTGTATATTGTTATTGTATCTGTTTTTAATATGCTGTGCACCGCCCTGAGTCCTGCGGGAGAAGGGCGGTATAGAAATTATAATAATAATAATAATAATAATAATCTCTTCTTAAAAATCTCCAGTGTTGGAGCATTCACAGCTCCTGGAGGCAGGTTGTTCCACTGATTAATTGTTCTAACTGTCAGGAAATTTCTCCTTAGTTCTAGGTTGGTTCTCTCCTTGATTAATCTCCATCTATTGCTTCTTGTCCTGCCTTCAGGTGCTTTGGAGAATTTGACCCTTCTTATTTGTGGCAGCCCTTTAGATATTGGAACACTGCTATCATGTCACCCCTTCTTTTCATTAAACTAGACATACTCAATTTCTGCAACTGTTCTTCATATGTTTTAGTCTTCGTCCCCTAATCATCTTTGTTGCTCTTCTCTGCACTCTTTCTGGAATCTCAACATCTTTTTTACATCATGGCGACCAAAACTGGATGCAATATTCCAAGTATGGTCTTTTAAAGGGATTATAAAGTGGTACTTATTATAAAGTGGTTAACTAGGGATGGGGAGAAACACGATCGAATCCACAATTAAACATAAAAATACATTGATGACTCAACCCAATTTACCACACTGGGATATTCTAAAGCAGAGGTAATATATAAATCATCATCACTATCCTCACTACCACCATACCCTCACATACATTACCACAAACTTTTACAACCAAGATTGACTCAGCCTTCCATCCTTCTAAGGTCGGTAAAATGAGGATCCACATTATTGGGAGCAATATGCTGACTCTGTAAACCCCTTAGAGAGGGCTGTAAAGCACTGTGAAACAGTATATAAGTCTAAGTGCTATTGCTATATTGTATAGTTTACTAGAAAAAAGTATATTGATACATACTATAACTTCATTTTGACTGATATATTCCTAAATCACAACTATTAAAAATCTGCTGAAAAAGTTTCTGAAGGCTCTTAAGTCTTCTTAACTTGGGCTCTTAAGTCCAGCTAACTTGCTTCCAAAACAGAGTGTCTAAGCCTGAGAGGCATGGCAAAGAATTAGGGGAGAGTAATTTAAACATGTGTCACATAAGCAAAAACAATGAATGTTATCGTATTTGATTAATAATACCAAACACAGCTTTTGAAAAATATTAATATCATCCTTTGGAAATTGTGGATTTACAGGAATCGGTCATCTGAAAAGATCAGAATTCATGTAATTGGATGGGGGACAGAAGTATTTAGAGTGTATGACTTTCTAAGAGTTTTACCCATGGCTGTCGAAAGAGCGCAACTAGACATAAAAATAAATTGTGTTCAAACAGCATGCTAGACTAGGCTAAAGTGGGATTGGATGGTTTCTGATTCAATGTTTTACAATAAAACCCAGCTATTTTGTTGCGTGAACCAGAATTGATAAATAAACCATAAATGATAACACTGTTTATCAGGATTTAGCAAATAAAATCAGTGAAGGAATTTTGTTCCATCCTATGATATTCTAATTACACATTTGTGTAGTTCTAAAATTCAGGAAATAAAAAGAGGTGTTATTGTGTAAAAGGTGACTTAATGTGCACACCAGATCCTGAAGCATAGTTGGGTTCCTCTTTTCTCTTAGCTGCTCTATTTGCCCAGTTAAAGATATCCAATTATTTTCTGTTAAATAGATATGAACTTGCCCATTAATTTTTTAGGACTTGTTCTAACAAAGATTTAGGGAGAACACCCCCCCCAACACACACACACAAATATCCCCCCCAGAGAAATGATGAATGTTCTGATCTTTCTTCAGATCATATAGTTTTTTCACCCTCTAAAATGGATGAAAATGTGTAATTTAAATATAATTTAAAATAAAAAAGTAATCTCTGTTCAAACTCTGAGAAAGGCATCCTGAAACAATGTAATTTGCTTCTGCCTTATGGGCCTTTCCCTATGGTTGATTTTAACTGCATTTGCCAATCTTTGGGCCAGCAGGAAATTATATCAACCTCTATTTCGAATTATATTATAATTTACCACATTGCATGAACCCAGTCCGCTTGTCAGAAATCCAGACAACAGAAAGAATAGAAGACAGAAAGCTAATTTGTAAATACCACTTTTGAAAGAAAGATGATGCAGGCCCATTTAAAAAAATGCATAACCGAGCCATCCTATTTCTTAAAATTGCATTATTCCTGTCATGGTGTAATAAACTACCATATTTAGCCAGGTTTTGCTAAGTGGACTTCTTTTTATTAAGATAGGTAACTGCTGAGACTCTTTAGATTTAAAAAAGGGAAGAAAGTAACACAGAGAATTGGGGGTTGTGTCTAATTTAGCCCTCAGTTATGGGGTTTCTGATTTCTTATCTGACCCATTTATATTTAAGATTAAATTGCTGAATCGGAGTGAAGGGCAATATAGAGAATTTACAATAGACCTTGTCTATGGTCTCCCCACAATCAGGAGGAGGAGTCAACAACCAAAGACTAGGTACCTGCACTCCCTAGTTACCAACTCAAAAATGGAAGAGCTATATGGAAACAACATCTGAAAAGGAGCTAGTAGGCTGGGTTTTGGACTGTCTGTGAGCAGAAATAGACGATGTAATTTACTGTTAATATCATTAATCATACAAAACCAAAGTGTTATTAAAATTATTAGACATGGGGGAAGAAAGAAATGTATAAACCAAACATCCATTCTTCCTGCACTTCTACACAACGTGATGGCAAAGTTAAAAAAAGTCAAGCTGTCCCCCCCCCCCATTCTTTAAGTACACTTAGACTACTTAAGCTCTTAGATACTGGACTCACAAGATTGCCACACATCGTCCATATCTGTAGGAGTTTCATTATCAACTTGCATTAAATCTTTATGCTTATAATTTTGACTTTCCTCAAGATACAATAATTTTCCCAATATTCCTATTCCCCTCCGGTCTGCTATCTCTCTTCAATTTCAAAAGAAATCCTCCAGATACTGTACAGAACAATAAAAACCAGTTCCACACCATTATTCCTAAATTTTATTTTAGTATCATGCACACAATCTCCAAAGCACAAATAGTAGAATTAGCTCCTGTGTCTCAGCTTGGAAGGTTCAGGAGAGAACATTGCCCTAGGCCAAAGTATACTGAGGTATCTACACAATACCTAGAATCTTTGACAGCAGAAAAGCTGGAATAAGAACAGGCAAAGATTGACCAATACTAACTCTGGATTCTGATAGAAGTTACAGAAAAAATGGGACATTTAGGCACCGACCCTTGGCCACGCCCTCTTCGCTCCCAGTGAACCGCCACCGTCAAACCACAGCTAGCTTTCCTCCTCTGCTGGCTCACTACCAGCGATTGTCCAACGCCAATGGCCCCTGGCCCTCCATCCTCAGCCCTTCATTCCTGCCCATTCCCCGAGACAGGGTTTGACCCGGACTTTTTGCTGCACAGGACAAATAGCCACCAGCCAATTGAGTGGTGGGCAGCAAAGCGGGCATGGCCAAGGGGAAGCGCCTAAATGACCTAGACCTGCTAAAGAAGTAATAGAAAATCAATGAGTGTGTTTGACTAGAAAGTTTCTTCTGTAATCCAAAAAGGCCTGTCGCAGGCTGAGTGATTTGAACTCAGTATCAACAGCTTCTCTCTTCAGCAGGAAGTAGTACTGAAGATACACTTCCCCAAGAAAAAGAGGCTTAATTAGTTGAGATGACAATCTTTCCTGTAGATTTACGTTGAGTCACATGTGCAAAGGCTTCATTTACCTGAATAGCAATTCAAAGAAAGGGTCACTAAATGTGTTACAAAGTTGGAGGTGTAAATCTATTTAGTGTTACTCGTATATTCATTGTGCAGTAAACACACAAACAGGCTTACAGGATGCTGGACTGTAAAAAATGATCCTAAGGGTACATTTTATGGCACCAATTATATTCCTTGAAAGTTGCAGGCATAGATTGTTTTGCTTTATCCCCAGTGGCATAAAACTAGGTAAAAGCAGAAACTTGATTTGGTGGATTGGAAAATTTTACAAAAAACCACAATTATGCAAGGTCAGAAATAATTCCCAGTTCCCCCTGAAACTGAATATAATAATCTAGATAAAATCCAATTAAAGATACTATTTAAAGAAAATGATTTCCATAATTAAAGACAATGGCCAACATTAAAGCTTTTCCCAAGTTAATTGTGGGAGTTAAATTTGCATGTATTTAATGAGATATGAAAAGCAATTGGACTCTTAATTAGAAACAATTAGTGATAAATAGATTGGATGAACTGAAAGGTTTCACCATTATTTTCAACTACATGCTAAGCTTTGGACATATTCCTCTTAAAGAGAAACCTCATTTCAATATTATTTTAAGTTTTAACTGTTCTTCCTCAAGAGTATGGCATAACATATATCCTAGGCACCAACTTCATCTTAATATTCATATGAAGGAGTTGAGAATTGAGAGATAATAAGTTAACCCCCTAAATTTCATGGTGAGCAAGGATTTATACTCATGCCTTCCCTTCCTGAATCTATAATGGAAATACAACATTGGAAATACTTGCATTTCATGTCTTTGCCAGTAATTAATATTAGCCCATCTGCTCTACATCTCCTATGGGAAAAACCTATTTACTCCATACCAAAGCTTTATCTTCAACAAACAATGTGGTAATGGTTGCTTTTTGCCACCCACTACACTGACAAAATTACTGGATTTCAGTAACCTGCAACATTGAAATTTATGGATGAGTTTTTATTCAGAAAGCTAATTTATACTCCAGTCCTATACAGAAAGCAGCTGTGATAAATCTGAGCTATACTTTTCTCAAAAAATAAAGGATTAACAATATTATCCTGGAAAATAGCAGTAGGACATATAGACATATATTCACCGAACCTCATTAGAGCATTTCTTTCATCATTATAAAGATTGTCCATTGGACAATCCAAGAAGTTCTGCAAAAGCTTCAAAACTGTTAAAGTCAAGCTTCTTCTCCTTACCTCCTCTAGTTTGAACACTTTTCCTATGTGAGGCTGGATTTGACCCTCTTGATAATAAGAAAGAGCTGAAGAAATGGTTGAGGAGAAAACTGGGAACTCTTCATCCCGGTACCGGCCCCAAAATATTCCCAGAGCAGAGATGTTTTTCAGAAGCAGTATGTTGGCTGGAATGGAAGGTATCGTTCCTCCAGCAAAACCAACCACCACAATTCTGCCTTCAAAAGCCAGACTGCAAAGATGAAGCAGAGAGAGACTCAGAGATTAGTACTTGGATCAAATAGTTAATATAGTAGCTCCATAACATTTTAAGTGGGTCAAAATGTATTCCTGAATGGGTGGAAATCAAGCCATCAATTAAAGCAAGAGCTACTTCTAAAGAGAAAGAGCAGATGTACAGTTCCTAGGACATTATACACAGATTGGGGAGGGCTGTGCTAAATAGTTTCAGAAACAAAGAGTTTAAAGCAGTTTACAAGTAGTCCTCAACTTATGACCACAATTGGGATCAGAAATTCAGTTGCTAAGTAGTGCAGTTGTTAAGCAAGTCATCGCATGACTGGATTTGATATTGTGAATCTTTTTTATCATGGTCTCTGGCCAAATCATGTGGCCATTAAATGAATCACATGGTTGTTAAGTGGATCTTGCTTCTCCCATTAACTTTGTTTATTAGAAGTCGGCTGGGAAGGTTAAAATTATGATCACATGAAAGCAAGTCGCCGAAATTATCATAAATATGAGCTGGTTGCCAAACATCTTAATTGCAATCACATTACCATGGGGGTGGTATGATGGTCATAACTTTGAAGATGGGTCGTGAGTCACTTTTTTCAACACCATTGTAACTTTGAACTGCTGTTAAATGAATGATTGTAAATTGAGGACCAACTGTAACACAGGAATGGAGAACTGCTGGCTTTATAGATGTTGCTAAACTACAACTCCCAAATTCAGCAATAGGCCACAGGTTGTCCATCTACCGTAATTATTTTGGATACAATAAGGAAAAGATTTCTAAGAATAGAACATTGTGACCAAGAAACTGGGGATATTCTAAGTTTATCAGACATTTTCAGATATCCTGCATGATCAAAAAAATGTGTCCCTCCTCATAAAAATCAGATATATTTACAGAAGATAAAAGTGATTAAATATGCAGGGGGGCTTTTCTATTAGTAAGACAAGTTATAATCAATTCTTCCCCTCTAATTTCTTCTGAGGTACTTTAAAAATATATTTTTCTACCAATTCTCACATGCACTGGAAACCACTCACCGAAGACTCAGATTTTGGGAATTCAAGTTTATTTCCAAGCAGGTGATGATTATTCACTAGCAGGGAATGGCCCTAATTTGAACTACTTTCAAGTGGCAAACAGTTAATCCAATGAAGTCAGAATAGCCTTATATCAAATAATTATGAGATATATTTATATCAAACAGCCTTGGTGCAGTTCTAAAAGAGCTGTAAAATCCACACCAAATTCAGGAAAAAGCACAAAACCTTCTACACCTTCACTCTGCTCACTATAGCCCTTGCCCTAAGAAACCAAAAAGTTGCAGGATCCAATCTGGGTCGGTCACTGGGACCAGAGGTTTTGTCTTCTGAGCTTTTGGACTCGTGGTGGAGCCCATCCTCAGGATCGGATCCTGCAATGCTATCCTGGGACACGTATTCGCCTTCATTTGTGAAACCAAAAAGTTGTCATATTTCGCTATCCAGAAGAAATAGATCATGGTTTAGCCCACCTGTGCAATGCCTGCTTGAAGATGTCTCCACCAACGGTGTCGATAACCACATCAACTCCCTTGTTTGCTGTCAGCTTCTTCACCTCTTCTTTCAGACTAGCCTCGCTGTAATTCACACTCTCAACAGCTCCTTTCTGGATAGCCAGTCGGCATTTACTGTCACTTCCTGCTGCTGCTATCACCTGCAATCCCAAAAGACAGCTATACATTCTTCCAACTGAAATGGTTGCATTGTAGCAGCCCTTTCCTTTCATGGTTAAAGCCAACAGAGCTTTCCCCAGCTTTGAAGTGTCCAACATATCCACTATAATTTCTAAACACCATTGTCAGAGAACTGTGAGAGTTGATGTCCAACACATTTAGCACCCAGCAGGTTACATTTGGATGGAATCTAAGATGATGGGTCTGGCTGCATTTTCTGTTTTCTTACCTTTTTTTTCTTCATAAGTAAAATTAATGCTATATTCTCCAAAGGAGGCTTATTGGGAAGAGAACTGCCCATTATTCTTCCTTCACTCTGCAGTTTTAGAGCAACCTTTAGGACAAAGCCATGACTCCCAAGTTGCTTATGAGAGGAATAATTGAAAACTTTTTTTCTTTTCATCTAGCAAGGCTCTCTGTTGTGAAAGGCCCCTCTTGAAACTGGTAAGAAAACCTTGTAGGAATGGCAATTCTGAACACTGCAGTCTGATAAAGAAAGGTAATTTTATGAGTAGAATCAGGGTGTGTTTACCTAGTTGTTACCTGATTTTACAGCAGAAATAAATATTTGACAACCAGAAGTGGTAAAGGATTTTTCAGGATTTTTCAGCATTTTTGTCTGATTTGGAAGATTGCTTAGATATATACTAATACTGGTGAAAGAGGGCATACCTTTGCTTTAAGAACATTAGCTGCAACATCCACAACTGCAAGCCCTGTAGCACCAGCGGCTGCAGTCACTAAAACAGTTTCTCTACAAAAAACAGAAGCATGGTTTGAGACTGGAGAGATGTATTAAATCCTGATGATCTAAAACAGAGATCTCCAAACTTGGCAACTTTAAGACCTGACTTCAACTCCCAAAAATTCCCAGGCCAGCATGGCTGGCTGAGGAATTCTGGGAGTTGAAGTCCACAAGGCTTAAAGTTGTCGAGTTTGGAGATCCCTGATCTAAAACATTAAAAATCTGTCGGACACACTTCCTCACTTCACTCCACCCCAGTGTCCATCTGCATTATTAGGCTCACTATGAAGAAAACTAGACCCATCAAATCAGGCTGAGATCACATACCCAGAACTGCTTTGCTATGCTCCCTTCCAGTCCTCCCATAGCTGACAAGGAGTCATGCTGCCCTAAATGTGGACTCTGCCACAGCACAACCTTAACACACACCTGGAATAGATCTATGCTGTTCTGTTCTTCATATAGCTTTAACTAGCACATATTTTGAGGGACATAGTTGATAGCTCCTTAGTTAGAATTCCAGCCCTATCCAATATCCTTCATTATGTGAAAAGCCTTTGCTAACTGATAAGCACATTGCTCCTAGTTATTTGGTGCACTGTTTGCTTTTTTCTTTCCCGTTGTAGCATTTGTATTCTTTGGTAGACAATCCATGACCCTTTGGATCATTGTTTCAGAGATATTTCCTTACTAAATTCTTCAATGCCTTCAACAATGGTAGAGTTTCTAATATATTTGAAAAGTTCTTAAAAAATTCATGGAGATATTCAGAGAGGTATCTGTATCCATAGCACAGTCAAATGTCTGGACTGCAGGAAATGTTTTGTGACATTTTGTATTATGTCATAAAATGCTTTATGATAATTTTATGTCATAAAATGTTTTGTAAAATTTGCCAAATTTCAGTTCCACAGGCATCATGGGTTACAGACTTTGGATGCATTCTATAAGTTAGCCCATTTGAGGTACTTGGTTGACACATTTCTTCCCCATGATGCGCTATTTTGCTCAGTTAAAGTTTACAGATACAGGAGTTGTAATAGTTTATCAATTAATATGGATTGACATTTGACCATTTAAGCTATAAGCCGTGGTGGCACAATGGTTAGAATGCAGTATTGCATGATAATTTTGCTGACTGCCAGCAGTTTGATTCTCACAAGCTCAGAGTTGACTCAGCCTTCCATCCTTCTGAGGTTGGTAAAATGAAGACCCAGATTGTTGGGGGCAATAGGCTGACTCTCTAAACTGCTCAGAAAGGGCAGTAAAGCATTATGAAGTGGTATATAAGTCTAGGTCCATGGTGGCGAACCTATGGCACGGCCACAGGCAGCACGCAGAGCTGTCTCTGTCGGCACACACACCGTTGCCACAGACAGACAGACACAGGGCTGGGCTGCTCGCCTCCCCCTCTCCACGCATACGGAGTCCAGGAACAGCTGCGAGAGCTGGGCAGGGTGAGGGAAACCTATAAAAGGAGCAGGTTTTGGCGAGAGAGAGTGAGCTGCCTTTGGAAGCAACCAGTGGTGGGTTTCAAATCATTTAACAACCGGTTTTCTGCCTTGCCGTCCCTCCATCTTGGTCGGTCTGGCCTACTTGGGGGGGTCGGCTGGGGGGGCAGGAGCTCCCGGTTGCAGAATTGCTGGATGTCCCTCCTGGGGGACAAAAGGATACAGTGGGGGGGCTGTAGGAGTCTCAGACTGGGATGGGTGCAAGAGAGTGGGGGGTCATCAGATCCTGGCTAGGGGAAGACGAGGGGGTCTGACTAGGGGTGGCGGAGGGCCGGGATGCCTCCATGGAAGAAATCCATCCCCCCCGCCGGCCGAGCCTCTCATCCACACTGCGGTCACGTAGGATTGCATAGAAGGGACACCGGGCAGGGGGCTGGGGGGTGGCCAGCAGGGGAGAATCAGAGCTGCCATCTCCCTTCCGCAGTGCAGCCCCTGTGGCGTGGGCGGAGACAGCCCTGAAACGGTCGGAAAGGAGCTCTCACCCGGTGTGGGCCCTGTCTACACAGTGGCTCTGACAGGGCGGCAGCTGCTGCTCCTCCTGCTGCTCTGAGCCCCTTGATCAGCAACCACACAGGGAAGCAGGAGGCGGAGGAGGGGCGGCCGGGTGTCTGGAGCTGTCTTGGCTACTCGCTGGCTGCAGCTGGCCCCGCCTCAGCAGCCTGACAAGGCAGTGGATCTTGCACACCGGCTGCCCAGCTTCGTGGGACAGTGGTGCCTGGGCAATGCTCAGGGCTGGGCTGGAGGCGGCAGCACTGATCCCTGCATTGCCAGGCCCAGCCGGCAGCAGATCTGGAAGTGAAGCTGTGCCACCCATCCTCGCACTGGTGGGGGAAGTGGCATGGGAAGGTGAGCTGTGGTGCACACCCACCCCTCCCCGCTACCACCCACATCACCCCGCACGCACCTCTTGGAGGCACATGCGGGATGTGGGGCGGCAGCGGCAAAGGGTGGGCGCATGCCAGATCCCTCCTTCCCCCGCTGCCGCTGTCACCAACGCAAGGATGGGTGGCACAGCTTCGTTTCCGGATCTGCTGCCTGACACCATCGGCCCCTGCACACAAGAGTCCAGTGAGCACATGGGGGCTGATGGTGTCCATCAGCAACCACAGCCTGCTGGCTGTCCTGCATCATGGCGAACTGGCTACAGAGCCCCATCGGTGCGGGCGGAAACGGCCCCGGGATGGCCAGAAGGAAGCCCTTCTGGGGGTCTGGAGCTGACTCAGCTGCTCGCTGGCAGCCTGACGAGGAAGCGGACCTTGCACACCGGCTGACCCCCCACCTCCTCCTGCTTCTATGCGTGGTTGGCCGATTGGAGCAGCAGCAGCTGCCACCCCATCAGAGCCGTTGAGCGGATGGGGCCCAGGCCGGGCAAGGGCTTCCTTCCGGCCGTTCCGGGGCCATTTCCACCCGCGCCGATGGGGCTCTGTGGCCAGTTCACCATGATGCAGGACAGCTGGCAAGCTGTGGCTGCTGACGGACACTGTCTGCCCCATGTGCTCGCTGGACTCTGTGTGCAGGGGCCGATGGTGTCAGGCAGCAGCTGCCCCAGCCCCTGCCTTACCTTGCCTTGTCCCATGGCAATTGGCACCCCCGCCCTGCCTCGCCCCACCTCACCCCGCAGGACAAGCCTCTGGCCCACCACCCCAGCCGCCAGAGACCCCCTGGATCTCCTCCAACCCTGCCCGGCCCCCACAGGCATCCCTCCCCACAAGCATCATTGAGGTGGCCAAGCCTACCGCAGTCACGCCCACCCAGTCAGCCATGGCCACCGTGGCCACCCACCGTGCCCACGCCCACCCGGCACCTGGCAATAAATAAGTGGGTTTTGGGTTGCAGTTTAGGCACTCGGTCTCTAAAAGGTTTGCCATCACTGGTCTAAGTGCTATTGCTATTAGCCACTAGGTGGGAGCAAAGAATTCTCTATTGAGATCAGCATGCCTGTTAATTATCATAAGAAAACAAGGAGTCAGTGCTTCCCTGAGAATTACAACTATTGAGAAGAGAACCAGGTTGGTCATTTGAATTACTTCCATTAAAATAAAGATAATCATTTTTAAGCCTTTGCACCCTTTGTCAATCAATCAATTAAAAAAATAGCTCTAGAAGTTTGTTTTTTTTAGCCAAACCTTCACCATGTCTGGGAACCAGATGCAAAGAGGCCAGATCAATTGTGGATGAACATATCTCCAACCCAGATCATAAAACCTCCAGACTCCTCCTCCATGCGTCATGGGTTATCCAAATAGGAGATCTTGAGTCAGGATAAGAGAGAAAATAAATTTCCAGAACAGAGCAACTAAAGCTGGGCTGCCTTTAGTCCAGACTTAGGAGAAAACATAGCTGCTGGTATGTATGAGGGCATATCCTCTAGAAACCATTTGTGGCACTTCATGTTGAGGCAAGAAGCTCTAGGGATTTAGTTTCAAATATCTGTAGGCTCTTTTAGGAAGAAAAAAAAAAGCAATGAAAACTTGAGAGCAAGTCAGACGGATCTCTAATTTATCTTGAGGACATAAGGTTGGGCAAGACTGACCTAGTAGTAGTTACTGCCTGTCTTAATTGTGTATTTCCTTGTTCCATGACTATCTTGCTGGCTGAAGGGATGGACAGAGAATATAGGGTTATAAGGGTACAACATGTATCTTCTAATGTCTTCGTGCAGAGGTGATACAACTAAGGAAACAGCCAACTTTTTGGATAACTGCTCCTACAGATTCCTAATTTTTAGCAGTCCATTTTGTTAGGAAAAAACATGCCTTACTTCAAATCTGATGCACATCAAATATATCCAGCATATTAAAAATAAAGCAAAAACTCATCTACAACATTTACAAAATTGTACATTAGAACAACTCAAGCTATATACTGAAATAGTGGAACGATTCTGAATGCTATGCAATCAGTCTAATGATCTGTTAGACACAGATCTTAGTATCTTCCAGGCAGGGAAAGCCTCAAGATAGCCGTCAATTATTACAGAATTGCAACACAACCCAGAACTTTGTTAACCAAATAAGACTTTGTGGTACTATTGTTGGGCTTCCACTCACCCTGGCTGTGTTTGTGCTCTGTGTTTCAAGGCCAAGATGGCTGTCCCATATGAAGAAGGGAGTGCTGCAGCTTCTTCATAAGATACTCCTTGGGGGATTTTCCAAAGCAACTTTCAAAAAAGGAAATAAAATGAATTCCTGAACATAGGCATCACAAGCCCTTCAAACTTATTGTTCTCTGAACTTATCTTCTGCAATAAAGAACTTCAGAACACCAGTGACAACCCCAATTAACTAACAGTATGACAAGTAGCACAGATTACAAAGTAATTTTTTCCGAAGGTCCACAGTCAAGTGACATAAATATGCTGCCACTTTAACCAATAGGACTTTGTGAGATCTTACAGCTGTAAAAAGATTGATTTTACAAGAAGGAAAAATACTCATTCTTCTAATTTTTCTATGATCGCAAAAATTTATCTCTTCCCCTATTGGATAAGCTTCCTATCACTTTAAGTTTTGACAAGAAGAATATTTATAAATTGGGTTTCTTTTGTTACCCCATATATTTACTCTTCCCATTGTTCTTTCCTCTTTTAAAGTTAGGTAAAATGAGCTAAACTTAATATTCCCAATATATAAACAAAATTTATTGAGTAAAATATGAGTGATGAATATTCATGTAATCTTATTTATCCTCTTACATATTTATTTTGGGGGGGGGGCTTTTGCAAAGAATTAAAAAAGTATTGGGGGGATTATTTTTTTCATACCTTTGAATCTGCAATGCATTCTTCCGCCAGAGCTTTTCCATTGGTCACACCAATGACACAGTCCCCCTGTCAAAAGGCATTATTATCAAGTGACCTAAATATGCTGCCACTTTAACCAACAGGAGAGAACCACAAGGAGGAGAAAAGTTGACACGTTCCCCCCTTTTGCCAAGGGCTAAAAACATATCTAAACAAGTAGAAGATATTTAAAATATCAACATTTTAATCAGCATTTCATTAAGTTAATGTATGAATATTTACAAAATTGTACATTATTGTACAAAATTGTACATTAGAATGAATCAAGCTATAAACAGGAATAGTGAAACAGTTCTGAATGCTATGCAATCAGTCTAATCAGTTAGACACAGATCTTGGTATCTTCCAGGCAGGGAAACCACCATGCTCCAAAAGCTCTGGGCAAGGTTGATTGTTAAAAAAAATCTTGTTATTTTTTGAAAACATTTTGTAGAAAGATTAGTCACAGCTTCCCAGTTGGCTCCAAATGGATAAAGTTAACCAAGATTTGTAAGCTTTTATTACAGCTATAGTGTGGAATATCTGAAGAATAAGGAATTTTACTTAATTTCAACTTAAGGAAATCTCAATAATGTTACATAAAATTCTAATGACAGAATCTCTTGAATATTTCAAAACATTGAAAGTGTGAGATTAGAACTTGATGAGCCTCACTGCAATTGTCTGTGGTAAAGAATTCTTTTTAAATTTATTTCAGCTCATCATCAAAGAACTGAACATGAAGATAATCCACAAGCGACACTGTATTTGACTAAAACTGCATTATATTATTACCTTTCTAGAATTAGTTAATGAAAGGGTAAGCAAAATGGTATATACTGCTACTGTTGTGCAATTGGCAACAAATTCAGAAAACTATTTCTGTTCAAAACCTATTAGGAAGTCGTTATCCAAAAATACAATAAATAATGTTGGTTTCTTGTTCATTTTTCTTAAGACATATACATTGATGCAATAATACTTCGGTTTCTAAAGTTCATTGCTACCGGTAGGTTTGCTACAAAAATCACTGGAAGATTAACTTTCATCTTTCTTTGGATCAGTGACATTTGGGAAACTATTGTTGCTGAAAAATTAACACAATAAAGAGCACTGAAAATCTGTACTATTATGAATAAATTAGTTCAAATCCATTTGTGATATATGAACAATATTCTTCCTAATTACTTTCAGAGTGAAAATACTGAGTCTGTTTTACAATTTGTGCATTTTTAAAAGAAGACATCTGTATTTATGCATATTCTCTTCTCATTCTCTTGCTGTCCTAGTTCACAGATTACAAATGCAGTAGTCTATCTAGTGAGCAACTACTAAAGGAATTTCCATATTCTTTTTTCCTAAGCCAGCAATGTACTAAATTTGCATAACAAAATGATCTTGTAAGGCTTACTCCAAAGAATCTTCCTTACCTCTTTGATGTTGGTGACAGCTTTCCCAGTCTCCACCACATCTCCTGAATATTCCATTCCTAAAAGAGAACATCATCTCTATAATAATACAGAGTTATTGCATGAATCATCAGTTAGTTCCACACTAGTTGTCACATCTATCATCAGTTACTTCCACACTAGTAGCAACCACTTTACACACTAGTAGCAACCACTTTACACACTAGTAGCAACCACTTTAAACACAAGACCTGGTAACAAGGCAAATAAATGCCTAATTTTCAATGTTATAACTTCTTTTGTGTCTAGCAAAAGATTTAAGCCAAAGGAACAGATCTGATTTATAGATAGCCTTCACTGTTTTCAGGAGATACAGGGGTAGCAAGTTCAGTAATTTTCTTTGCAATATCAAATATACTCTCAATATCAGCTTTCTCAGGTCAAAATCTTGGTGACTCTGTTCCAATGACTCTGAGTGGCTTATTGACATAATTATCTTGGTGGCAGTAAGAAAATGGTTTATCACTGCTTCTTACTGAGATGTTTTTTTATTTTTCTTATCTAACCTGGGATCCTGGAAGTCCCTAGTGCAGGGGTGTCAAACTGCCGGCCTATGGGCCGGACGCGTCATCCGGAAGCCATGCCCACCCCATTGCCGGCAATGGCAAAACCGTCCCGATACGTTGCACAACGTCATGTGACGTTGCGAGTTTGACATGTCTGCCCTAGTGGTTTCCCATTCAAATACCAGTCAGGTCCTACTCTGTTGAGTTTTTGAGCTAAAACAAGGCTGGCCAGGTGTTGCTGAGACATTTACCCCATCATCTTCTAGTGACCAATGCATTCAGTTTGAAAATTCCATTTTGAGGCTCCAAAATGCAGACTTTAGAGGTCTATCTGATCTAATTTGGAGATACTTTTCATATTTCTTCCCATCTTCTACTTTTTACTTTATCTCCTCTCAAGGGTTCTGGAGAATTTGAAAATTTTCACACTGTTTTATGCCATTTTTCTTGACCACCAATGGATTCTACATTACTCCCCTCCCCCTCTTTCTATATACTGTACATACAATATATATACATATATGTGTGTGTCTGTGTGTATCCCATACTAAAATAACTGTTATCATAATCATTGCTGAGCATTGGCCAGAAGATGTCACCATGAGCACAATAAAGATTTTTTTTAAAAAATGGAACAATATATTAATACTCTTATTTTTTAAAAAATCTGTTTTTTTATTTACCTTTTTAAAAATAATTTTATTAAAATTTTTCAAGAGAATGAAAAGCAAACACAAACTAATGCAAAATAGAAAGAATAAAAATAGAGAAAACAAGAAAAAAACTAAGTGCAGGAAGAAATAAAAAATAGAAAAAAAGTTTCTGATTTGCTGTACAGCAAATATTATTATAAAATTATCTCTTATTCTATGACAGTGATGGCGAACCTTTTAGAGACCAAGTGCCCCAAAACCACCACCCCATCCTGCCCCCGCTCCGCCGTGACCACTGGGCCACCCACCACTTCCACGGCCCACCACAGATCACCCAGGCAGTCCAGCAGCGCCATGGCGGCCATGCCCTCCGCCCATGCCCCTCAGCATCATCTGCGCACGACGGGGCGCAAGGGCAGAGTCTTGTCCCCGGCTATCATGTCCTTGGCTGCGCTGCTTCACGTGGGCCATGCCCGGGGGTGACTCTCCTCCGGGGGGCTGCTGGTGAGGAGGGGGCCATGGGAGGAGGCAGGGCTGGGGCGATGGTGCATGTGCCCACAGAGAGGCTCTGAGTGCCGCCTCTGGCACGCGTGCCATAGATTCGCTACCACTGCTCTATGATTACATAAAAAGCTTATTTTTTTCTATTATCTATTTTTCCCCCTAATCATCAAAACAAGTCATAAGTGTATTTTTTCCCATTTCATGCAACAAGTCTAAAAGGGGTTTCCAATCAACCATAAATGTAGGTATTGTCTTTTCTCTGATCAAGGAAATTAATTTAGCCATCTCTGCAAGCTCCATCATCTTCACCAACCATTCCTCTATTGTGGGTAGAGTCGAACGTTTCACTTTTGAGCATACTTTTTTATCTATTGCTTCACAGTAGTTACATTTCAGATAAACAAAGTATGTCTGAAATTTGCATAGTCTTCTTAAAAAACAGGTTTCTCATTAAGAAATCTAGGAACAGAAAGGGAATTAATATCAGCTTTCTCCAATATGACACTGTCAGGAGGTTAGACTGTAATTTCTATCACTGGATAAATTTATCTATTGGAGAAGGCTGAGCTAGGAAAGGGTGCAGATTTGGTCTTATGTTAGGGCTCCTTCTCACAACATAGACACCATGAAAATGTTTTCACTCACCTGGGATGAATGGGAGAGGAGGGTAATGTTGATAAAGACCCTGGCAGACCAGTATATCAGCAAAATTGACTCCACAGCTGCGGACATGAACTCTGACCTACAAAAAGAGACAATCCCACATTCCTCACATAACCAGAAACGTCTTTATGTGTGTAAGAAAGGGAGGAGAAGGAAACAGGTTAAACATTTAAGTACTGTGTTTTTTTCCTCTTTAGAATCAAGCCACAGCGAGTGATCTGATTAACTTAGGAAATGCAACAAATGAAAGAATTATTTTCTATACACGCATACAAGATTAATCTAATTAATTCTCATAATATTCCTGGCTGCTGTTTTATGCAAGGGAAGAAGAGACCAAGGGAAAAAAAGTGGATTCCTCATCTGAATCCTGCTCCCTTTCCACAAGATCTATACACTGATTGCCAGAAAATGAGGGGAGTGGGGAAATTGGGTTGTGCACGTCTTTGAGTTAGTATTGTCTCCAGGCAACTGACTGGACAAGTCCCTGTGGTTTTCTTGGAAAGATTTTTCAGAAGTAGATTGCCATTGCCTCCTTCCTGGAGCTAAGAGAGAGTGACTGGCCCAGTCTTCCAGTTGGCTTTGTGCCTAAGATGGACTAGAAGTCATGGTCTCCTGTTTTCTAACCACTACTCCAAACTGGCTCTCTAGAGCAGAAGCCCCCAACCTTTTGGGCACCAGGGACTGGTTCCGTGGAGAAAGGTTTTTCCGCAGACCGGAGGGGGAGTGGTTTTGTGTGCTGCCTTCATCCCGTGAATGAGGCTTTGCTTGTTTACACAGCTCGGTTTCTGACATGCCACAGCCCTGTGCCGGTCCACGGACCAGGGATTGGGGACCCCTGCTCTAGAGAATAAACTAGAGATATTGCATAAAGCAATCTGGTGAACAAATACCTGTCCTATCAATTCTGGCTAGCAGAAAGAATTTTTACTAAACTGATAAGGAAGCTATTATAACCCCAGTTTCTTCTTAGGTTACAAATATACCTTAAATTATTCATAAAAATAGGCATATGTTCCTAGATTCCTAAAAAGAAGTTCTATGGATCAGTAAGCTTTGTCAGTCATTTGCAAGATTTGGTCAAAACTATTAGGATTAAGCATAATACTACAGATAGGCCTGAAGCTTCTAGAAGTGAAAATAATATATACCAAGATCTGAACAAGCTTCTAAGTTCGAGAAAAACTACTGTCTTGGGGAATTTTTTTGCGGTTTAATGTTAACCCAATTAAATGTAGTAAGGATTTAACTACCACCAAAATTTTTGTTTCTGCTTTTCAATAGGACATTATTTTTTTATTGTCTATTAATCATGTTGCCAGCCTATTTATGGTGTCTTTATGAACTGCCTGAGTAGTAAATGACATGCTGTCTTTTCAAAGCATATCAGTTTTGATTACTGTATTGCAAACATTATACAGCTTCCATGACCTAATCAACAAGACATCCACAACTCTGAAAAATGCCAGCCAGCTCTCTGTGAAAAAGCCTCATTTGCATTCTCTTAGAATAAGCACAGCCACTTTTCCCATATGGATCACTGCATATTGAAAACCCCTAGCTTGATATCTCAAAACATGATTGAAGAAGACATTCTTTGTGTTAAAAGCCCCACCTATGATCAATTTAACAAGCAGATAAAATAAATGGGTAAAATATAATTTATAAATGTAATCATTTTCCCAAGGACTATTTATGTTAATCATCACTTTAAAGACTAAACATAACTCGATAGCATAAGCCTTCACAGATTATATTCCACACCTTCAGATGCAGTCAGTAAATGTTGCCAGAAAGTCATTTTTTGGAAGATAATAACAAGAGGAGAGGATGGTTTGTCTTTGTTTCAAATACACACATGTCCTCTAGTTATTTCAAACACCAAGGAAAAACTAATATCTGGTCTTTCAAAGCTTAAAAATGTTTTCCCTCATTTGTGGGGAAATGTGTGGTAGCAATTATGGTTCACAAAACGGAAATTTTATTTTGTCTTTACGAAAATAATGTTCTTTCTCTCTCTCTCTCTCCCTCAACCTATATTTCATGCTTTCCAGTTACAGGATCACTTTTCTACTATACATAGCAAGCAGATATAGCATATACATGATATGGCTTCTGGTTATCAAGTAATGATAAAGCAAACAATATTTATTGCATTTACACACAGAGATCAATTAAAGTCATTGTTATGGAATCCTTGGTGCTCTCTGAGCTTGGTTCTTTTCTTGCAGATGTTTCATTACCCAACTAGGTAACATCATCAGTGCTAGAAGGGAGTTGAGTTTACTCTCATTCTATAAACTAGTGCAGTGGTGGTGAACCTATGGCACGGGTGCCAGAGGCGGCACGCAGAGCCCTCTCTGTGGGCACGTGCACCATCGCCCCAGTCCTAGGCCTTCAGCTGGGTTTTATAAAACCTTTTCGCTTTAGGCCTCCACCGCCGTGTGCAAAAAAAAAAAAAAGGTCCAATCAATCAGTCAATTTCAACTTCTCGCGGGGGAAAAAAAGATCTTGCAAAGTTGGAATTGATTGATTGAACTTTTTAGTCCCACCCAGTCTGCCATTACCACCGCAGCCACGCCCAGCCAATGGGCCACACCCACCCAATAGGCCACACCCACCCGGCACCCGACGATGCATAAGTGGGTTTTGGGTTGCAGTTTGGGCACTTGGTCTCTAAAAGGTTCGCCATCACTGAACTAGTGGCTTGCCATGTCTGTGTTGCTGTGTTGTTTACTATTAGCTTGTTTGTCTGAGTTGTCAGAACGTACCAAGAACCTAAGATTTCAATCCTGAACTACAAATGTTCTCTTCCATCAAAGTCACTGGTTTTCATTAACAATAGGGAATAAAAGTACATGATTTTCTTGGTCTGTTTTAAGAGTTGATTCATTTGTTGCCTTTCCACATATAGCAAACTGAACCTACAAATGCTCTTTCCAGGTGTCTGAATTTTTCTACAAGCAACCTAGCAAGAACTAAGATGCTTCAAAAGAATCGGCTTTTATTCCCAACTAACAATGCACTATCAGGTAGTCCTTGGCTAATGATGGCAATTGGGACTGGCAACTCTGTTGCTAAGAGGCATGATGGTCAAGCATGATGTCATATGACTGCGCCAACTTACATTGGCAATTCCGGCTGTGATTGTGAAGAAAATCCTGCGCAGTCATTAGGTGTGACAATACACGATCACCATTTGTGACCTTCTGCCAGCTTCCTCACTGCCTTGTCAGATTGAAGTTCACAAATGATCACCTCATGACCGCAAGATAGTGTGATTGTGGTTATTGCTAGCTGGTTGCCAAGTTCCAAATTATGACATGTGGCTGTAGGGATGCTGCAATGGCCACCGCTTCAAAGACTGGCCATAAGTCTCCTTGTTCAGTGCCGTCGTAACAGTTGCTGAATGAGTGATTGTTGTAAATGAATCAGTAGGCTAGAAACTATTTGCACAGATTAGTAAATTCTTTATAAAACTGTAGTAATAGTACAATTTTCTTTCAACCATTTTGTTTGACTTCCTTTCCAGAGGCCCTTTAAGAAAGACAAATCACATTATTTACTAAGGCCAGATGATAGTTTATACCTAGGAAATGGGCCATGAGACAAGATCATAAAAATCCAAGGGGGGAAAAGGAAGGGAAGAAAAGGCTATAGCTGTATTCATGCAACATCTGCAGCAAGTTAGTCTTAAATGGAAAATAGGTGTAGTCCAATTACATCCCACAGCTTTGAACTGTATTCAAAGAGTCCAGTTTAGATTCCTCTCAAAGTCTGACAAGAAAAAGAAAGAGAAGCCTTACCAGAGATCTGAATGGAATGTTTCCAATGGCCTACATGAAAAGGCCGAAGACCACACTCTGCCCAAACTGTTTTAAACAAACATTCATGGTAATCTAAATCCTACAAACAAAACCATCTTGACTGATCACGTAGGAGAACTTTCGACCCAAGTATTGTTACTTGCTTACCTCGTGTGACTGAAGCAAAGCAGATGGGACATCCCTAACAACCAATGGCTTTTTCAGTTCAGTGCACAGTACTGCTCGAAAGGTCCTCTGGGGCTGCAAGAAGACAATGCTGCCTGGAGAAATGGGGTTCCATGATTTGGGGCCAAAAATATTCTTCCTGTAAAAAGAGAGGCAATGGATTCTCACAGACCCAGCTTACTCATTTTTTCTTTAACCTTCTTTTTAAATAAAATTTCTTTTCATTAATCTGGTATTTGCAAATGCAAGTGATCATAAGATCCATTTGTTATAATTGCAAACTTGTGCAATTATAACATTCTCGGGAACATTAATGTTATATTCACCTAAATGTGATTTGAGGTCCTCTCCGCATCTTCCCCAATAAAACCACATAGGGTTGCAGTCTATAGCAGGGGTCCCCAACCCCTGGTCCGTGGACTGGCCCCGGCCCATGGCATGCCAGAAACCAGGCTGCGTAAACAAGCAAAGCCCCATCTACGGGATGCAGACAGTACATGAAACAACGCCCCCTCTGGTCTGCAGAAAAACTTCTCTCCATGGAACCGGTCCCTGATGCCCCAAAGGTTGGGGACCTCTGGTCTATAGGACAGCTATATGCAAAGTATTATCATCAGTTTTGTTTATCACCAGTGGTTAAGGCGCCAAACTAGAAACTACAAGACTATGAGGTTTAGTCTTGCCTTAGGCACAAAACCAGCTGGGTGACCATGGACTAGTCATTCTCTGTCAGCCCTAGGAAGAAGGTAATGGTAAATTACAGGTAGTCCTTGACTTACAACAGTTCATTTAGTGACTGTTCAAAATTACAACAGCACTGAAAAAAGTGAGTTATGACCATATTCCACAGTTACAACTTTTGCAGCATCCCCACGGTCACGTGATCAAAATTCAGATGCTTGACAACTGGTTCATATTTATGATGGTTGCAGAGTCCTGGGGTCATGTGATAACTCTTTGTGACCTTCTGACAAGCAAAGTCAATGGGGAAACCAAATTCACTTAACAACCAGGTTACTAACTTAACAACTGCAGTGATTCACTTAACAACTGTAACAAAAAAAGTCATAAAATGGGCCAAAATGGGCCAAGAAATGTCCTAAAACTCATTTAAGAAATGTCTCACTTAACAACAGAAATTTTGGGCTCAATTGTGGTTGTAAGTTGAGGACTACCTATACTTCTAAAACACCTTGCCAAGAAAACTGTAGGGACTTGTTGAGGCAGTCTTAAAAGCATTGCACAAACCCTCCCAAAAATCTCCCCATTGCTCAGTATCCAAGTTCTCCAGACTAAATGTACCAATTTCAATCTTTCCACATAAAATTGATTTTCCAGGTCACTGCCCATCACAGTTTCTTTTCAATGAATACTTTCTCATTTATTTGCAGCGTTCCTACTGTGAAACAAAAGCATATGGACATGTCGAAAGCCTTCCCCCTTTGTCTTCCCTGAATGTGCACAAAGACAACAATGCAGTAGAATGCATATGGTGATCAGACTAAAGATACCACAATGGTGTTCTATCTCAGTCTCTCCTGGGTGCCTTTGATTCAGAATACTTAGAATACTTATTCATTCCATTCAATATAGAATGAATAAGTATTTATACCTATTTGGAGTTTGCTAAATGATAATTTATTTCAGCTAAACCTTTCCTTTCCCAATCTCCTTAGGTTTCCTAACTCAGTATGGTAATGTTAGCAGCAACCATCACTATTTTCTTTACTTTGTGAATTCAATTTTTCTCCAATTTTTTTGTTTAAAACTCACCTACTGCAAACAATATCCTCATCCCAGAACATTTTTTTATTCAGTAAAATAGACTGCAGCCCATAAAATATTGTAACTTTGTTCATCTGTGAAGTACACAAAGACTTCCTGTTTTAGATGTCTTGAAAGATAAATAATCAGATTATAAAAATCTCTTAATGGGAATTCAAATTTCTCAGTCTGGAAGTCTCCCAACCTCCATAAAATAAGATTGCAGAAAATAAATTGTTTTTATCTTTGAGAAGCTGGCAAATATATATATATATATCCTTTGGTATAGATCCCAAAGGTCTTGCAGTAAGCTAGTTATGTAAATCATTTTTAAGATTTCAGAGCTTGTTAAGTGCTAAATAATAAATGTTTCATCTAATTTTAAAAAGCAATGTATCATTTCTGAATTTGTTTCTCTATTTTTGAATTTGTCTCTTTAGTAAATATATCCATTTAGAAGTGTGGCTGAATTTGGCTCCTATGCACAGCCTGAGATCACACTTAACTAGTTTTAAGGCATTAGGTAACGCCACATACACAAACATAACACAAAATCCTCCAGTTTCTCCAAAGGCATAGAAGTCTGAACTGTACACACAAACATTCAGGCAAAGAGAACACAGTTAATGGCAACATTCCCTTTCAGATATACACGTCTTCTAGCACAGAGCTCCCCAACCTTTCCAGGTTGGTAGCTCGGAGGGAAATGGAGGTGCAGGGAAATGTATCACGCACCCATGCCCATGCGCAAAACAAGCACGTGTAAGGCAGCAACACAAGTGCCCATGCCCATGCGCAAGCAGGCCGCATGCACCCACAGCAGCGCTGATAGTAGTTCTGGCGCCCATGTGCATACGCAAATGGGCCGCTAGTGCCCACATGACATTGGCGGTGGCGCTAGCATCCTGCACATCACCAGCCATTCCCGTGACCCAGTGGCCAAGAGGCCACGGACCAGTACCAGGCCACAACCCACAGGTTGGGGACCCATTCTAGCATATATGATTTTGCAAGATGGAAGTCCAATGGAAAATAGGGACATGCCTGACTTATAAGAACAAAATAACCATCTCATCAGAAATTAAGTGTATCGTCTAAAAAAACCCCGAGTAATTTGTCTCAGGCTAGCATAATTATTTATCATGAATGTGCCTAACAGTTAGGTTCCATTTTGTGCATCCAGTCTTCATGTGTGCCCATTAAGAAATTGCCAGAACTTTTGTTAGCTGGAGGTTTTCTTTATTACAATCTGCAGAAGAACAATGAACCCAAATAACTCCCAGAGGATTTGACCCTACCGATAAACCCTTGGAGGAAGACAAGTGAAGGTATGTCACACACAGAAGGAAACATAACACTCAAAGAAAGAAACAACATGCAACAAACAAACCCCTTCTGCCCTTAGAAGGAAACACACAGACCCACAACCTATCCTTCAGACATGCAGACACCTAGCAAAGAAACAACTTCAAATAATCCTAAAAAAGTCACCTCAAATATCCCTAAAAAAGCCACATCAAAAACACACCTGAGACAACCAGAAAAGCATCCCAGACTGCAGTGCCCCCCCCCAAAAAAGATGACACCAAACTGTCAGAAGTAGCCAACACCTCAGAAGACAAACTCAGGATCCAGAAATATCTTGAGCAACTTGAACAATGGGCCCTATCCAACAAAATGAGTTTCAATATGGAGAAAAGCAAAGTCTTACACTTAGGCAGGAAGAACCAAAGGAACAAATACAGAGTGGGCAAGACCTTGCTTGGAGGCAGTAACTGTGAGAGGGACCTTGGAGTCCTGGTGGACGATCACTTAACTGTGAGCCAGGAGTGTGCAGCAGCAACTAAAAAAGCTAATACAATCCTGGGTTGTATAAACAGAGGCATAGAATCAAGATCATGTGAAGTACTAGTACCACTTTATAAAGCCCTAGTAAGACCACACCTCGAATAATGCAGCCAATTTTGGTCACCATATCACAAAAAAGATGTTGAGAGTCTGGAAAAAATTCAGAGAAGAGCAACTAAGATGATCAAAGGCCTGGAGGCCAAAACATACGAAGAACGGCTGCGGAACTTGGGTTTGGCCAGTCTAAAGAAAAGAAGAAATAAGGGAGACAATATAGCAGTATTCCAGTATCTGAGGGGCTGCCACAAAGAAGAGGGGGTCAGGTTGTTCACCAGAGCACCAGAGGGAAGGACGAGAAACAATGGTTGGAAGCTGATCAAAGAGAGAAGCAACCTGGAATTAAGGAGAAACTTTCTGACAATCAACCAGTGGAACAGCTTATCCCCAGAAATTGTGGGCCCTCCATCGCTGGAAGTTTTTAAAAAGAGACTGGACAATCACCTATCTGAGATGATAGGTCCTCCTACTTGAGCAGGGGGCTGGACTAGAAGACCTCCAAGGTCTATTTCTATTTTATTCTATTTGAGTAGGCTGCCAAGGGATGGGCCAAGTCAGCACCTGACAGCCTTATACTAAATCTAGTGTACTAAATAATGAAGAAAAGGGACACCCACTGCAGTCTGGACAGGCTGTGTAGACCTAATTTTTTAAGTATTTGTATGTGTGCAACCGTACTCAGTTGTTACTGACCAGGTTCTTAAGAGAAATTGAGTACAGATACTCAATCCAGATACCAAAATGTGCACAACTTGCACTGTCTTCTGCTGATCCTGTAGCAAATGATTAAGTTATTCAAGAGGAAGTAGAGAAATGTTGCACTGAAAAAGAAATAGGGAAGCAACGGAATCCAGAAGAGTTGCAAGTAGAGAGGGCCAAGCAAAAAGAAACAAAAGCATGTTGGAAAAATATAGAAAAAGTACAAAAGCTTGAGAAGAGTTAGAATGACAGAAGCCAGGCTGAGGAAATGCTGGGACCCCAGAAGCTCCCATGAACTTGAATATGCTAAGATTAGGTGGGGACATATGGATTATGAAAGGGCTATTGAGTTCTCATGTAGTGGGAAGCCACAACTTTGGTAAAGAGGCCACCCAGGCAGCAGATACAAAGTGAGACAGAGCATCAATACCACTTGCTACTATTATGAAATTCAGTATCTGGCTTGCAGGGGAGAGAAGCATGGCACACCTTTAATAGTAACTTCTGCATTTTTATTCAATTCCTCTGTTGCATCCCTATATTTTTTTCATTACAAAAAATCTCAGGGTAGGGCCGTGAATGGGGACGGTGGATTTATAGAATAGAAAACGCTGAATTTTTGAAATGGCTAAAAGTGTCAGTTCATTCAGTGCTACTGAACAAACTGCAGACCCCGCTAATGTTTTTGGTACGCAGGATTCATATTAAGGTTCAGCCCTCTACGAGTTGATCTCACGAAATTCAATGTTTGCTTCTGAAACGGACAGGCAAAGCTCCAGTTAGTCAATCTCATTTAATCCATTGAGATCAGTCTGGCAATAAAACTAGCCGAGGAACAAAACTGGAGTTAATAGAAAGAGACAGTTGGGAAAGAAAAAGCAAAACTCGATTTTCCAATGGCCAAGCTGGAAGAGGATGTTGGCTTGTAGGAGGGTTAAAAGAAGAGAGGAAGGCGCGTGGTTAGAGACTGGGGAAAGAGGGCATTTCCGATTAGCAAAAAGCTGCACCTGCGGCACGCCAATCGGGAAGCTCTCCTGGCGGCCAGGCCCCAACGCAGCAACATGCCTCCGCTCGCCATCGCCAGGCTGCCCAGGGAAGGCAAACCCCGCCGTCTTGGGCGGCGCCTGGCTTCCGCATCCGTTTCATCCGTCAGATTAATTCCCGTAGGCTTTGTGCTCACTTCCCACTGGAAGTTTCCGCCCACTCAATGAACTTCTTAGCCTAATGGGGTCGGAGGGAATCTTCCCCGCCTGTCCTTGCTGGGTTTCTTTCCAGCAACCAAGCGACTGTTCCGCGGGACTCATCAAAATCGCCGTTTTTAAAAGCGATCGCAGGAGTGGCCAGTTTGGACGAGTCAATGGCCCATTAAAGATTAAGAGGAGATGAAAACCCAACTCGCGCACCGCTGCGCTTGCCTGTTTCCGCTTGGTCAGGAGAGGGGCTGTGACGGACAGCCTCAAAGAGATTCCGGCACATGCAGCAGGACGGAGTGGACCGTGTGTGGAAACTTGAGTCGACCCCCTCGCTGTCTGCCTAGATCTGAGTCTGTAGTGTAGTGGTCAGTTGCAGGAAAGGAAGGGTAGCGACTACAACACAAGTTTACTGTCCATTGTGTTGTAATGTTGCAAACTATATTCCAATTACAGTAACCACATGCAAGAATGCCTTGAAACAAATACAATAACGCTGTGGGGCAGTAGGGCGTTTTGGAGGACAATTCCCTTAGGCTTTTACTATGGTTATGATGAATGGGGCAGATGACTATTGGAGTTCAAAATATTGCGAGTATTCCTATTTCTGGCATCTGATATAAACAGACATGCCTTCTGCAATAGGATGCTTTTTTTTCCCCACTTCCCAATCATAGGCAGCCTGGGATCATTAAGACATTTACGTGTCCGCCCAACTCAGACTATGACTACAATTACACCCCCCCAATTATTAATTAAAAATATGTCATTAAAATTGTTAGGAGAATTGAAATCTTCATTTCTAGTGGTTTCCTATATTAGTTCCCACCAGGACCTCACCCAGTGGTGGGATTCAGCCAGTTCGCACCAGTTCTGCAGAACCGGTAGCTAATTTTTTGTTGCCTAGGCTCAGAATGAACTTCTGGAAACAGCATTCACACAGAGAACCGGTTGTTCACATATTTGAATCCCACCATTGACCTCACCTCTTATTAAATTTTCTCAGGAATATTAATTTATTAGATTATCTGGACAGAAATTTACTAATCCATTATGGGATAAAGATGTGCTTACTTTTGAAAATGTACAAGGTGAATCAGGCCTTTTCATAAGAAAAACAAACCACTGACAATACAGGGCTGTTTTTATACAGATCTTTCTTTTTGTAACATTTCCTAGGTTTTGGTTCTACATATTCATATGTAGAAGTGCTGTGAAAGGGAAAAAGCCTCACACTCCTGGGAACAAACTTATGAGGGATTTTAATTGTGAAAATAATAGGGAAGAAACCAAGGGTCTAGGCTAGGTCTCCAACCTTTCTGGGCTCGTGGACCAGAGGGAAGGAGAGCAGCTTCAAAATTGGAGTGCACGCATGCAGGCTGGCACAACACTAGCGGCCCCGTTCGTGTATGTGGCATGCGCTGGTGCCGTGCGCATGCACACATGGCTGTGCACCTCCCGCCCTGCGCTAAGGTCTTCGTTCAAGCCCATGTGCATGCGCAAACAGGGCAAATGAGAATGTGCACCGGCCAGCCATTTCCACGGCCCCCTGGCCAAGAGCCCCGCAGCCTGGGAAAAGGATAAATGCTAGTCAGATTTCATTTGTGCTGATGTTTGTCTCTCCCTGAATGTAGACAGAGTGAAAATGCTTTATATATCTAGTCTGTATACAAAGCACATGTTCTAAATCTCTTTTATAATGGTAGAGAATTTGATGAATCCAAGTCAGTTGAACATCAAGTTAGTTGGTATCTTTCTCATAAGACCTGACAATTTAGGGTTCCTTAAAAAAATATTCCCCATTAAATCCTTCTCAAAATGTATTTCAGTTTCTTACAACTATTATCCAAATTTTCAAAAGAATGGGTATTGGGGAGGCAGAAAAGGACAACACTCAGTCCATTAAAACAAACATTGCTCCATTCCTTGGAAGCTATGGGAAACAATGTACCTGAGTGCTTTTATTCATCTGAGAGGCAGTTTTCTCCAGTCTAGTGTTCTCCAAGTGGTTTGGACCAACTTCCTTAAATCCTTGGGGGCTTGTAATGAAATCTAGCAACACTTATGCTATGGTCATTCAAGGACATTTGAATTCATGGATGCGTTGTTTCATGTAACCTTTCCAGAAAATTCTACGTAATCAATTTCTAAAAATTTATACTTCACTAAGCTCTGGGGTTTTAATCAGCGATAAATTACAAATAGAAAATTAAAACAAGCAAAATAGTCTTCTCTAAATTCTAAGAACATGTGGTTGAAAGTTAAAGGATATTGACTAGACATCCAATTGTAAATGAATAGAAGTGTAAGCCTAATGCTTGGATTACTTCTTACCATTCAAGATTTATTTCAAAATAGGCATAGACAGAATTTACACTTTATATAAAACTTTATATATTGTTAGAGGTGATCCATAGATAGTAATTCAGTTGTTTCATGCAAGACCACGAAATAATTGCACCTAGCTATCTATAGTTGTGTATACCAAAAATAAAGACACTTTAAAAATGCACTCAGTTCTGGGGCCTATCCGGACATATCCACCCAGGACAAAAGTGATTCTCTATTATCTTTTGGGGGGATATTTTTTTAAATTTCTTTGTCTAGCCCACAGATAATTCATTGGTGATTTCCTATCCAAATACTATTTAGGAGCAGCCCTATTTATTTTCAGAGCCTAGACAGTGTCTGCCTTTATTAGGCCTGAACAAAATATATCAGAAAATGCAGAAATCTTCGTCAAGGAAAAATATGTTACAAAAAGAATTCGTGCGGCTCCTGGTAACACTGTCATTGGTTCAAATAAGGACACTCTGCTACTATGTTTGTTTGTTTCAATGTTCAATTAGGGCAATTTCACTCTGCAGTCTAAGCTGCTGGTCACCCCTGCTGCTCCCAGCTGTTTTATAAGCCAACTTCAGAAATCCCAAGCCTGGTTTGGGCAACAGGGCCAGATGAGTGCTCAGTCCAAACTATCACCACCCAGGACGCCCATAGTTATTCCCCTGCTTCTTGCCATTCACATCCACGCAGAGAAGACAAACACTGATGGCTACCCCTGGGTAGACAGATGAACCAATGTCCTCAATTTCCTTTTACGGACTGTTTCTCACAACAGTAGTTTTTATGCTTTTCTTTTACTTTCCAAATCATTATATACATGGATGTCTTCACATTGTCACACCATATTCCTATCACACTAGCACAGATCTTTCTTGCTTCTTTTCTCCCTATGGTACCATTTTTTATTCTGATGTCATAATAATCTAAATAACAAGGGAATAGCTTATTCTTTAATTCTTATGTTCCTCTGAAGGTTTGTGAAAATGTTGCAACAAGGAAAATCTAATAGTTTAGCCTCACAGAAACAAACCTTGAAAATTAAAAATTAAAGGGGAATGGGGGAAGGAAGTGGCACTGGACACCGCTGACTGTTCAAGTAGGAAAACTGGCATTTTGAATCAAAGCTGAAAGTCATCCTAGGAGTAGAAAGAGGGGGACATTTATTTTTTTGCATTTGGGGAGTGTGCGTGGCCTACAGTGGCAAAAGACCAAAATGAATGTGCAGATCTGTCCTTGTTAGGCTACAAACATAAGGTCCATGAGAAGTTTCCAGACATAGTCCATATAGCTTGGTAGCTGAACTAGACATATTTTTACACTGTGGTTGTGTTTTTATTTTCAAATAAAAAGAAATCAAGCAGTCTATCCAGACTGGAATAAACATGCTTGCTTGCTTATTTACTTATTTATTTACTTATTTCACTTACTTACTTACTTACTTAAAGGACTTATACAGGACTTACAGTATCTCACGTAATTAGTCTAAGCAATTCTCAAACATTCAGAAAAAAGTTGCTAAAGACAAAAGTATCCATCCCCCGACCTGCTCAATGGCTATAGGGGCCCATGGAGATGACCTTAAGAAAATATTGAGAAGCTGTTACAAAAGCAATTATTGAAGAAATATGTCCTGCATTCTAGAAAAAAAAATAGGAAAAGAATCATGCTGGCTCCTCCCTGATTCAACAGGATGTAAAAGGAAGAGAAAGGAAAACTCAATTAGACTTGCAAGATTCTGTTATTCTTATTATGAGAGTTTATATTAACAGAGTCTTCTTTTGGAGTTTGTTTCCTGATCTGGACTAATTAAAAGGTCTGACAATACCTACCATGGAACTCTCAAGATGTCACAACAGACTCACTGAAGACTTTTTCAACCTGTTTAACTCTAAGAAGAACCTGGATATTGTGACAGGACCACCAACTTCTACACGCCACTACAGTAACCTTATTAGCTTCTTGAAATTTTTTAAAAGGTCAGTGGGTCTTTAAAAACTAACCTACTTTACTATGAATGTTCAGACACTATGTTTTAAGGCTCAGAACACATGACCCTTCTTTGCTATGTTAGCTATGTGCAGTGTAGGAATTAAACGTGTGTGTTATGGGTTTTATTTTGCAGATTTTAATTTTGTAAGCCACTCTGGAGTCATCATGTTTGAGTTGGGCAGCAATATAAATGTGTAAGACAAGACAGACAGAGAGACAGACAGACAGAGCTTGGCATCTAGTAGTCAGAAAAAGAACAGGGACCCTTTTCCATCAAGTGTTTGGAAGAAAAAGCTGGAAAGAGGAAAAGCTTTCTTTGTGAGATCAAAATGCAATGTCTGAGTGTATCTCCGAAACACAGTTAGCAAGAGATGAAGGAAGGAAAGAAGCAGCAGCAAATATTGTATAATAAATATTTTCCCTATTTAATCCTCTGTGTCATTGTGGACATTAGCCTCCATTCAAGTTCAAAGGTTTTGAAGTGCTGATTCTCCTGTTGGGTCTGCAAATATTTTTTCTGACTTGCCACCAGACTAGGGAGTTCTAAAATTCCATA